GAGTGTAATCATGTTACACTGTACTCCTCTTTGGAACTTCCTCACTCTTTACAGTAAGATAATATAAAGCTCACATTAATCTCATTAATAATTAGTTTTTATACATGATTCTGGTTTTAACGGCATTTCCTCAAGTGTAGGTATTATATGTAGACATAATGTTCCAGCTTTGTTTGCACTAGTTGCTATAGAGAAGTGATAATCCCAGAATCCCAGAATGTTAGGAGTTGGAATGGACCTCTGGAGATTATCAAGTCCAACCCCCCTGCCAGAGCACAACCGCAACAGAATCTAGGGCAGGTCCCTCAGAAACATATCCAGATGGATCTTGAAAGTCTCCAGAGAAGGAGACTCCACAACCTCTCTGGGCAGCCTGTTCCAGTGCTCTATAACTCTTACAGTAAAGAAGTGCTTCCTCATCTTGAGGTGGAACTTCCTGTGTTCTAGCTTGCATCCATTGGCTCTTGTCCTATCACAGGGCACAAGTGAAAAGAGGTTGTCCCTTCCATCTTGACACCCACCCTTCAGATATTTGTGTACATTAAGATCCCCTCTCAGTCTTCTCTTCTCTAGACTAAACAACCTCAGGTCTTAGCCTTTCCTTGTAAGACTGTTGTTCCAGTTGCTTAATCATCCCTGTAGCCCTCCATTGAACTCTCTCAAGTAAATCCCTGTCCTTCTTGAACTGGGGAGCCCATAGCTGGATGCAATACTTGAGGTGGGATCTCACTAGGGCAGAGCAGAGAGGGAGGAGAACCTCCCCTGACCTGATGGACACAGTCTTCTTAATGCACCCCAGGGTACCATTGGCCTTCTTGGCCACAAGGGCAGATTGCTGCCCATGGATAAGTTGTTTTTCACCGGGACCCCAAGGTCCTTCTTCATAGAGCTATTTTCTAGCAGACCAGCTCCTAACCTGTTCTGGTGCATGTTGTTCCTTCCCAGCTGCAGGACTCTACACTTATTTTTGTTGAACCTCATTAGGTTCCTCTTTGTCCAGCTCCTCAGTCTGTCCAAATCTTGCTGAATGTCTGTACAGCCTTCCTGTGGATCAGCCAATCCTCCCAGTTTGGTATCATCAGCAAACTTGCTGAGGATACACTCTGTCCCCTCATCCAGGCTATTGATGAAGATGTTGAACAGGAATGGAGCCAACACTGACCCCTGGGGAGCTCCACTAGGTACAGGTGGACTCTGCACCATTGATCACCACCCTCTGGGCTCTATTGTTTAGCTAGTTCTTAATCCATCTCACTGCACATTCTTCTACTGCATACTTCCTGAGCTTGCTCATGAGGATGTTATAGGAGACTATGTCAAAAGCCTTGCTAAGGTCAAGGTAGACTACACCCACATTTTCCTAATTCAATGTTATCTCTTTCTTATGCATGGAAGAGCTGTGTTATGGAACCATCACATGACTACTCCATGGCAATGAGAGGTCATCTAGTATAAGTTACTAACACAACCCCCAGGTCACATGTAGTAAATGTTTTTCTGTCTTGTACCAGTTCTCTAAATTTGTTCTCATGTTTTGGCTTTCATTTATTGTTATTCGAATGTGTTATCCAAGTTCAATAAGTTAATGTAAATTATATAGATTTTTTTTAATGTAAGATGATACAGAATGATGCGTCAAAAGAAGAATTTCCTCCAATATTGTGAAACCAATGCTATTAGTGGCAGCAGCTGTAACAAAGCCCACAAAACTAAGAGCCTATTAAATACCATATCTGGCAGACTTTGCCTAATCATACAAGTCTTCGAACCCTGCTTTGGTAATGAATAGAATCAGGTCATAGCACCACAGCTAACAGCTGAATGCTTATGTGGATATGAGTGTGATCTTTACAATAAGCTGTTTGAGATGGATGGTTTACAGTTTTTTTAGGAGAGGTCAGAGAGTATAGTAAAGGTGGATGGGGAAAAGGTGAGGTGGGAGGTTGTCTTTACCAGCAAACTGCGAGAGAGATGATGTATGATTGGCAATAGTAGTTCCTGAAACTCTCAAGATACAGTTTATGGATATCTGTAGTCCTCATTTTAGGCAGGGCAGTACTGATTAATTTTATGAAGTTCACAAGATGCAAATTGGCAGTTCTTATGGGTGCAATAATTTTTATTCTTTAAGATGTCATCCCACCCTGTATGGGTGAAACAGAACTAAAGAACTTGTCCATCAGTCCCATGTCCTCACAGACTACCACGGGAAGTATAGTGAAGGGAGTAAATTAATAGGTATCAGCAAAAAATCTCTCCTGTATTAAATACAAAGTAGGAGATAAACCAGTATTTTGAAATATGTGCTGTTTCAGGAACATTAGTAGCAAAAGTAATAATAATTAGAAGCTGAGGAAATTCAGTATCATTTTATATCCACAGTAATTTAGAACTGCTTTCTGTGAGGAATAAATACCCATAGGGATGCAAATGAAGTAATGAGGAAAATTATAATATTTTACTCTGATTATTACAGATCATTAAAATGTTTCCATTACCTTCTCTTAATATCAGATGTTTAAAACTATCCTCATATGCCTGATGAATATATTAATTTGCATATTTATGTTGTTGCTTATTTTATTAAGTAAAATATTTAAGATAGTTAAACTTAAAAAATGTTTTTCTTCTAAAAATGTCATAAGCAAAAAGCTTCAACGTGACCATCTATTTTTGTTATGCTGGAGAGATACACCTTAATGTAAGTTACCATATTTTCATTGGAAAAAACAAAGAGAAAGAACCACTTGATTTTTCTATATCATAGAGAGAGCTATTAAAACCTGGTACTTTTTGCCTCATCTAAACTTACTCTTTTGGTTAAAAAAACAAATAGCACAGAGGGCTTTCTTACAGAGCAGAATCCTGCTTCCTCTTTGAATAATTCTTTTTCCTCTGTGATCTTAAAGAGATTCATATATTGCAATCCACTCATGGTCTAACCATCTCTCATAAACTAAGTCTAGGGTTCTTTATTATATTTTCATTCATGACACACTCTAGAGAAAACTGGACCTTTTACACTCACTCAAAAAAATCTGAAAGTGATGAATATTAAAAAGGGGCAATTAAAATTTTGTGTGCTATCACAATTGACCTAAGAGTATTCTTAGGTGAATGCAAGTTAATTTTCTCTTAGCATCATTCCTAAAGAGATCATTTATAACTGAAATGTTGCTATTGCAGCTCACTGACTCTGTAATGGCTTCTTTAAATTTAAACTTTTTTAAAGTTTCATCCAATTTTCTTGTGAACTTCACTAATTATAAATTGTTTTGACTACCCACAATAAACTAAACAATACTGAGTGGTCCTTAAATTATATTCTTTTGTAGTAATAGAACATTCATTTGTACTTCCATGAAAAGTATGCAATCTGAGCTGGTGCTTAATAGAAATATTTAGTATCTTCAAGTAAAACAGCATTTCAATAGTCTATTACAATTATTACTGGAACAGATTAAAGCTTATTCTGTGCAATAAAATGACTCATTATTGATACAGAAATTATGTACTTTCCTACATTTCTTACCTTTCCTGGAGAAGAAATAACCAGCATTCTCAAAGGTGTCATTTTTACTTAAACCTTTCCACAGGGAGGCATATAAAAGAGATTATGACTGAAATAACTACCTGTGCTGCTTGACTAGAGGTATTTTCTTATGCCTCTCTTTTCTTTTCTTAATGAAATACCCATACCTCAAAGTAGTCAGTATTTTGCTTGTCCTTAATATGATGATCCTCAAGACATAGTGAAAAATGTCTTGTGAGATTGGTGTGCTGCACCACATCCCTAAATTAGTGTCCACCACGACAATTCATAGAATCATAGAATCATAGAATCTTAGGGGCTGGAAGGGACCTCGAAAGATCATCTAGTCCAACCCCCCTGCCAGAGCAGGGTCACCTAGAGTACATCACACAGGAACTCATCCAGGTGGGTTTTGAATGTCTCCAGAGAAGGAGACTCCACAACCTCCCTGGGCAGCCTGTTCCAGTGCTCTGTCACTCTTACAGTAAAAAATTTTTTTCGGATATTCACCTTGAACCTCCTATGCTCCAATTTACACCCATTACCCCTCGTCCTATCACTGGACATCACTGAGAAAAGCCTAACTCCATCCCCCTGACACTCACCCCTTACATATTTGTAAACATTGATGAGGTCACCCCTCAGTCTCCTTTTCTCCAAGCTAAAGAGACCCAGCTCCTTTAGCCTTTCCTCATAAGGGAGACGTTCCACTCCCTTAATCATCTTTGTACCTCTGCGCTGGACTCTTTCAAGCAGTTCCCTGTCCTTCTTGAACTGAGGGGCCCAGAACTGGACACAATACTCCAGACGCAGCCTCACCAAGGCAGAATAGAGGGGGAGGAGAACCTCTCTTGACCTACTAACCACACCCTTTCTAATGCACCCCAGGATGCCATTGGCCTTCTTGGCCACAAGGGCACATTGCTGGCTCATGGTCATCCTCCTGTCTACCAGGACCCCCAGGTCTCTTTCACCTACACTACTCTCCAGCAGTTCAACCCCCAACCTGTACTGGGACATGGTGTTGTTCTTCCCCAAATGCAAAACTCTGCACTTCCCCTTGTTGAATTTCATCATGTTTCTCCCCGCCCAACTCTCCAGCCTATCTAAATCTCTCTGAATGGCAGCACAGCCTTCTGGTGTGTCAGCCACTTAATTATCAGCCACTCAATTATCAAGACAATGATTGAAATTTGGACTATAATTTTTCAATACTATAAATTTCAGATGTTTTGCACACTTTGTCACTCAATATATTGCTGTCTTCCTCATAGGTCCTCCACTAACTATATATTTACAATTTTATCTCCGGAAATCAAAAGCCGGACTGTGTGGCAAGAGAAAGCTCATATTGTTGGGAACCATGAGGAAATGCAAGGTTCAGGGTTCTCAGGGGAGTAATTGTAGTGACTTTACTTCCAAATGCAGGCCACTTTCCATCCATCTATCTGAAGTAATTTATAGTTCCATGAATAGTGCTCAACTGTCCCATCTTCTACCAACAAACAGACTATTGTTTACTCTTAAATAAGAGGCCTATACCGTAAAAAATATTGAATGTCTTCAGAGTGATTAATCTGATTTCCCCCTCCTTTCCCTCCCCGCCATTTATTAAAAATAGCTGATTAATTTAGAAAAGTTTCACTCAAACAGGTGACACAAATCTACCCTATATCCCCAGAAGGGATGTCTTTGACATTCATGTCATGCCTGTTGGTGTTAAAGAAGACTTTGGACAATACTCTTAGATACATGGTTTACTTTTTAGGTTGCCCTATGTAGAGTCAGGAGTTGACAGTCCTCATGGGTCCCTTCCAAGTCAGGACATTCTGTGGTTCATATAAAACATTTACTTCAGTCTTCATCCTGGAGTGATGTATTAAAATGCATGAGCATATTCAAATGCCAGATTTTACGAAGTAACATAGCTGTTGAGAGAGGAATGGGTCCTGGTGACACTCTTTTATGAAGTACAGGTGACCACTGGCATAGCTTCTAAGTTTTATTTTGCTACTACTTGCCAACAATGGTGTCACGATCCGTGACCTATTATATCTCCTTATTGGAGTGTATTAACTTATCAGGATTTGCTGAGAGATCCACACGTGGATATCGCCTCACACAGAGGATACAGGAACTTATGTCCCGACTTTTTTGAGTGAATAACTCGCTCAGTGCTTACTAAATTTCTAACAACAGCAAGGTTTATTGTGGGGAAAACAAAGCAATTTGGGGCAGGAGGTTCAAAAGGAGTGGTTATAACACATTAAACATATATGGGTACACCTTAGTTACACATCTTATTCAAGTGCTGGAAGGAGAGGGGAGGGGTATGCCCGAATGGCTGGATTATATTTTCCCCTATAAGCTGGGGTAGCCGGAATTGTCTCACCACGGCAGTGCAGGTTCGATGAGCTGGGTAGCAAAGAAGCTGCGGGCACTCCAAGCGCAGGCCGCCCCCCCCCACCACAAAGCGGCGGCAGTCGGTGCGCGGCTCCGGGACCGTAGGTGTGCAGAGCGGCTCCGGGACCTGGCGACCGGGGCTTTGGCAGCTGCAGCTGCGGCGAATGGCTCCGGGACTCCGGGACTG